TTTTGCTCCATGGCTTGGATAAATGAAATCCACCTGTGGGAATAGAGCTTTGAGGGCCACATAGATAATCAGTCCTCACTCTAAGCAGCGTGAGCGGTGCTTCTCTGCTCAACACAGGGAAGGGACACGCATGATAGGGCTTCTGAACCCTGAAACCTACTTCAGTCCTAGGGACGTTTGAGAAACCCAACACTAGCCTCCTACCACGAGAGCCACTCCAAAAATCAACTTGAACACAGATTTCCTACCTTTGTTCTCCAAGAGCCCACAGAGGAAAAGCTGTCCCACAGGGGATTCAGAGACTCCCATGAGCTACTTGCAGCTCAGAGGAAGAGCCTCTGCCTTCTTCTAATACAGATGTCTACACTCTGCTGGGCTGCCAGATGCCGTCCCCAAATAGGAACAAATGAAACCCACAGAAGCCAGAGCCCCTTCTCATGAAACCTCAAATGCTTGCATCTTGGTATTAACCCAGATACTCTAATATGTGAAAGAAAATTTTAAAAACAAAACAAAAACAGTTCCACAAATTCCACCAAGCTCTGCAGACTGCATTTTTAATTAGCAGTGCAGTTTGGTTGAGGGATGAGTTGCTTTAGTTCCAATCACTTTGAGCAAGTGAGGTAACTTGCTCTGAGCAAGGTCTTTTTCATTCATAAGGTTAGGGATGGTAACACTATTGACTCATGAGAATGAAACAAGTTAAACCAGGCAGACACTGGTCCTAATGCCCGGCACAGAAGTTAGAGCTCAGAAATGTCAGCTATTATTACGCCTCGCCTACTGCCTTATCTTTTACGCTTACAAGAAAGGTTAATGGGCATGCATAAAGTTACAAATTTCAAATTTCATGCATATTCCATTATTACTTATTTTACCACCTGGAAAAGCTCAAAATATTCAATTCTGCCCTTGAAGTAAGGACAATTTTCTAGATGCGACAGTCAGCTCAAAGAATCCAAGCCCCATGATAGGCTGTACCACAATCCGGACAAAGACTCGGCTCGTGTGTATAAACCCGGGTGCGTTCTGCTCTGTGTGGGCTTGCAGCACGTGAGCCGTGAAGCCCCAAAAGCTGACTTCAGCGTGCCCATCCTCGCTCAGCTGATCCCGGTGGAGACGCTGACAACTGAGAAAGTACAGCAAGCAATCTTCTCCAGAAAGGAAGTAAAATGAGGAAATAACCCCGAGGCGGGGGTGGGGGGTGGGTGGGAGAGTGATGACACAACCCAACTCCCGGCCACTAGGATCACGCTTCAATAAAGCAAGGGGGGATTACACTGTGAAAAGGACCCTTGCAAGTTCTAAATTCCTTCCGTTTTTCTAAAAATCTTACAAGGGGACCTAAGAATAAAGGCAGGAGCAAGAGTGCGGTGAAGGCATCGGCATATCGTCAAGTCTTCAGGCTCTTCACTTGTCCTCAGTAAATCTTCCCTTTGGAGGTGGCCCAGATATCCTGGAGGCTGCACGGGGCTTTAAGGTCACTGGCAAAGCGACCCAGTATCCCTGCCTAAGCCCAACGTCACGTTTCCACATTACAGAATATGATCCAGCTATTTAAAAATACTGTTTACAAAGGGTTTGCCATAACATTTTAATACAGGCATTTCCCCCTCATTAACTAAAGGAAAAAAATGGGTGCAGAACTGGATAGAGTCTGACCTCAACTGTGCAAAAAAAAAAAAACAAAACTCTAAAATGCTGTCATCAGTTGCCTCTGCATAACAGAACTAGGGGTGGGTTTTTTTCTGTTTTCTCCTCACCCCCTGTTACTTGTAACTTTCTCTAGGAACATATATTACTTTTGTGATAAGAAAAAATTATTTAAATAACCTGAGGTTTAAAACTGCACCAAACTATGCTAAAATTCCGTGAGGTTTTTCAGAGACTTAAGTCAGAGTGTGTGTGAGTGTGAGTGTGAGTGTGAGTGTGTGTGTGTGTGTGGTGGTAAAAAAAAAAAAACACCAGCAATTGGCCCCCAACTGCTGTTTTCCTGCCCCTCATCCAACCAGGCATATACTACAGTGCCTGGCGTCTGTCAAAATGCTGCCAACTCTTGATCACTGGGATACTGATGAGTCAGGCTGTGGGTGATCCAAGCCTTCTTTCTTCTCCTGCTCCCACAGGCTGCCTCGGGTTGGGTTTTGTTTCTCGTTGCTCATTAGTACCTCCACTCTGTGGCTTAAGAAGCCAAGCTTGTGTCTATCAATGTTCATCTTTTCTAACAGTTCTGGTGACGAGTCTGGCAAGGGAGAAGCTTGAAGTATTTGAATAAAGGGATTCGGGGATTATCTGTGCCTTCCCAATCATCGACACAATCCTGGGGCTTGGGGCTCTGGGTAATTTCACAGGCTGCCTCCAAGAATCTGCACACAGGATACATGGGGAAGCCTTGGGAATTACTGGGCTGGTCTAGGGAGCCTGGTGGGGCCAAGTCAGTTCAGATTTGTCCCTCACAACTTCCTCCTGAGGGAAGGGACCTTCCTGAGTGAAGCCGGGAGCAGGGCTTAGCTCCCAGGAAGTTTTCATGCCATTCAGGTATCCATTCAGTCAGATGGTCTGCCTCCTTCTAGAGCTGGGATTCTTCCCAGAGCTTCTAAAAACCCTGACTGACAGCCTAGGAGCATGGGTTCCACTGCCACCGCCCCTCCATGGATCCCTGTCAACATGCTTCCCATTCTCCCCAGGGAACCCTCAGACAGTGGTTGGGGCAGAGATTACAAACTCAGTGTAGCTCGGGGGATATTAGTGCAGACTCTGGAGCCACACCAGGTTCAAATCTCTGCTCTGCCCTGTGTACCTTGGGCAAAACACCCGTGTTCTCTGGGCCTCCCTTCCCTTATCTGTAAAATGGGCCCAGTCTATAACTATCTCCCAGCGTCGTGGATTGGACGGAATTAGCTAGAACACGTAGAGTGACAGGCACAAGGGAAACGATGCACAAATGTCCGCAGTCACAAAATAAACCCAAAAACCAACCTGCCCATGTTATTTGGATTCTGAAAACAAGGTGGCAGGGACAGCTTAGGAAGGCATAGCCCACACAGACGCTGAGGAAAGCCACGCTTCAGTCAGCTACCTCTCTCTCGGCAGCTCGAGGGCCCCAGCCGTCTGGGCCCCAAACCGTCACTGCAAACTGGCCAGCTACACACCACCTCCTGAGGGGAGCCAACAGGACAGGCGAGACCAGGCCGTTCCCCCAGGGGACGATCGACAGCCGAGGTGCCTTCACCTCCAATTTACCATGTAGCCATTTGTTTGGCTCAGCTTTGGGGAAACTGTGTTCTTGTCACAAAACTCATGAGAAATATCCTCAATCTGAAGAGATAATTGGCGAGGAGGCCCGGGAAGGATTGGTGGCCACTTCCTCGGTCAGGTGAAATGGGCCCAATCTGCCTGAGCCACGGATGTCACCGCATGACTCCAAGCGACTTGTGTAGAATGACTGACGAGGGTTCACCTTTCCCCGGGAAATCAGGCTAATGCAACAGGAAAGACGATCAATGTATATTTTAAAAGAACGTGTATACAAACAAACTCCCTCCCATATGTTACTGGGTTTCCTCCAAAGAAAACAGATTAAATCAAATGCCTACCAGACACGGAGCGTTGTATTAGGCTGTGGGGATTCAGGACCCCCTTCTCGAGAAGCTTAAAAAATCAAGTTGGGGAGACAAGACAAACATGAGTGAAAAGGTTGGGCATCAAAACAAGACATTTGTAATGAGCCAAAAGAATGAGACAGCTAATGAGTATTTCAGAGGAGGGGAAAACATGATCACTCTGGGCTTCGGAGGCCTCAAAGACGAGGGGGAGCGTGAGCTGAGCCAAAGCACAGGTACATAGGATTCAGTAGAGGAAAAAAAGCCATCCCGGAATGGGGCACAGGGTGAACAAATTGGGGGGGCCTGGACTACACAAGGCACATCAGGGGGACAAGCAAATAGGTTTTGGCTGGAGTGGGGGCTAAGTGCACGGCAGATGGAATTAGAGACCTTCAGGAGAGAAAGGGGTTTTCTGGGCTGTCTAGCACAATCTCCTTTTACAGATGAGGACAGGGAAGCTCAGAGAGGTTAGGCAATTCACCTACAGTCACACAGCTAGTGGTCGATGGGAGATCAGTTGAGAAATCAAATCTATTTGTACTCAATTTAGAATCTGAGCTGACAGTAAATCAACTGGCCACCGGAAGGCAGAGGAACATCAGCCTAAGGTGACAGAAACTGCGCCGTTCCCAGCCACGCATGTTGATGGAGGCCACAGGAGGTGTTCAATAAACACTTGCTGATGAAATTGAGAGGCTGGCCGCTCTATCACTTCAGACAAGTCATTAGGTATCCCTGAGTTTATTTTCTCCCCCTCCCACTGCCTCCCCGCCCCCCAGTGAATAAAAATCCCAACTTGACCAGTGGTATACCCATACAGTGGGGAAAAAAATAGTCGTCCGAGACAAAAGTCAGGGGGAGTCTCAGAGGATTTCAGGTCTCTAACCTCTCCATGGTGTGGGCACAAAAGGCAGAAAACAAAACCCCTCCGTGGGTGGCAAGTAGGCTGGAGGGAAGGAACACCTGTTTTTTCCTACTTTTCAAGCCTTATGATCCCTCATCTGTTTCAAGTTGTGAGAAATCAGGTGCATTGTACCTTTCCATTACAAAGGAGATATGAACCGAAAGGTTAAATGTCTTAAGAAGGTGGTCTGAGGGACGGGGAGGGCCAGACCCCCATTTACCTCCCTGAGGCAGCTCATGAGTAAGGGAGGGAGGATAACTTGCACGCTCCTGGGAAGCGAGACGGCTGGAGTTTCATTACACAGTTAAGGAGGCCATCACATACAGATTTCCAGAAACCTCTTTGTGGTCATTTCTGAGGGTCTCTGAGCAGTTCACAAAGCAGTTGGTATGATCTCGTGTATAACCCAGAAACAATAGAAAAAAATAAATTTAAAAGCACAAAATGGATCACTATGAAAATTGACATTGAAGAAGGCACAGAAAACCAACCTTAAGTAACTGGCCATCTCCTGTCCCCAAGAACAAAACAGTCCTGTTCATTACCACGGTGCCATAAACGGATGTCAGGTCGGAATGGATCAAGGTAGATGAGGCGATTGGTTGGACTCTCTCAGGTTGCTCCCCTTCTTTCTGAACATGCACACAAACGCACAAATGGAAAAAAGATCATTTTTAACAACAGTAATCGCTCATGCCCACCTAGGAAGGATCCTCCTTGAGCCCCAAATACATTTTCTTAGACAAGATCCCGAGGAGCAACCGCTTAGCCCCTTTATCTGCAGGATCACCACACTTGCCCAACCCATGAAAAGCCATTTGTTTACTATGTATTAACATGTATTGATTGCCAGCAGTGAGCTAGCCATCCATTTAACACTCCCCCAGCTGATATATGAAACCGAGTTCCACTTTATTGCCAAGAAAGAGCCCACCGCTGAATTGGGAGGGAGACAATCTCATGCTTGGCGGTTTGCACGATCCTGCTGCAAATTATTTTAGCTGGGACTGGCTCCTGTGAGGTTAAACAAGCCACTTCCCAAGATGTGAGGCAGACCGTCCTATTGGGTGTGATGGCAGAGAGGAGGGACTGCGGATTTACCAGACTGATGCAATGCAAAGCCCAAAGACAGGGTCATTAATTCAGAGGTAAAAAGGGAAAGATATAGTCATGGCTGGTGGGTTAGGACAGAACCACAGAGCTAAAGAGGAACTAAGCACAAGGCCTGGATGTGGTGCTGATGCTCTTGAAGAAGAAACACAAAGCTCAACTTCCAACCCAAAGGCATTTCAATGGTCGGCAGTATTGAGCACATATAATCACATGCTTGCTCCCGATCGTTAGATAAAAGCCCCTCTTAAACCCAGGGCAGAGCGAGTGTCGACCAAAATGTCCTGGTCTTTCTTGGTTCAAGGCACGAAGAGCTTCACGCTGCTTCCTGCCTTCAACAACAGGAAACTGAGTTTGTTACACAAATCTCTGGAAGATATGGAGCTAGAGAGAGCCATTGCCGTCTGTGGCTGTTCAGTACAGTGTGATAGCATACTTCATCTGCCAGAGCTCAGTTCCCAATCGTACTCAGGTTTCCAAACTCACATTTAAGTCTTAGCCAATGGGAGAGCTGGTAAACTCCAGTAAGCCTCACTGGAACTCTTACAATTGTCCTGTCTGGGGACAGGGGAGGTGTGCAGGCGGAGGCTAAGACTTATTAACTTCATTATATTATTGCTGACAGTGTTTATGTCTTTCAATTTATGTCTTATTAAACATTCATTATTTTTAAACCCACCAAGTTTCATTAACATCTGAAGTAAATGGATTCATGGACTAAATCGACTTCTGAAGCCTTTAAAGTGCCGTCTGTATTTCTTTGTTGAGGTTGCGCAGGGAAGAAAAGATAAGCTAGCAAGGACTTCTCCAATGCCATGATCACTTTTCAAGGGAAAGATGTTGTAACCTAAGAGAAAGTGACTTTTTGCATAAAATATTCCATAGTGAACTCAGTTTAAGAAAATTTTTGGAAAGCCCATTAGAGACTATTTTTTTTCCTGTTAAATACTTTACATGCAGTCGGGGAAAATGACGAACTGTCCTGTTAAAATTGAAGTTAAGAAGAAAAAATCTGGGGCGCCTGGGTGGCTCAGTTGTTAAGCGTCTGTGTTCGGCTCAGGTCATGATCCCAGGGTCATGGGATCAAGCCCCGCATCGGGCTCCGTGCTAGGCTGGAAGCCTGCTTCTCCCTCTCCCACTCCCCCTGCTTGTGTTCCTGCTCTCGCTATCTCTCTCTGTCAAATAAATAAAATCTTTAAAAAAAAAAAAAAAAAAGGAAGTAAAAATCTCTGTGGGTCTTAGAACCAGAACAATAGATCACTGTTTAGATAAGGATGCCTCATGACTATGAGCAGAAAGAGAAAAATCGGGTGACCTTTAGACTGAAAAAAATAATAAAACCACACCACACATCTTGCTTTAAAATAAAACCAGAATTGTTCAAACTTAAGATCAGCTGACCATGCCTACTACTCTTATTAAATATTTGAGCATTACAGAGAGGCTAACTCAGAGAATTGGGTGTCATCTGTCTGGGCATCTGGAATGTTCTAATACTGCTATCTTTGACTGGAAGACTCCATTCTCCCTCATCTCACGGCACAGAAAAAGTTATGGCTATAGATGGTTGATTATTCATCCGCGAGGACCAAATGGGACAGTGTACGCCTACCTCTGGCATACAATAGGTGCTTAATAAGTGTTGCCATTCTGATTAGCCAAGAACTATGACATCACAGGGAGCCTTTGCTGAGGCTGGATGAGATATTCTGTTTGTGATATTCTGCTTAGAGCAAAAACAAAAACAAAACAAAAGAAACCCCAAACAAAAGAAACCAAAAAACCCCAGAAGTGTCTCAAAAGCTATAGTACAAGGACAAAAATTGCTTCCAAATTACCATGCCATCTTTTTCAGCATCCTTCCCTGACTTTTGACCATTCCTTAATTGTAGTTTTCCAGATTAAGTCCTGGATCAGTAGCTCAGGTAAGTAGCAGAGCTGTGAAATCAACAGCCCTGAACTTGGGAGCTGGCGGCATAAACAAACCTCCTGGATCTAGGCGGTCAGACAGCTTAGGTCTGCATTCAAGTTCAGTTCTCGCCCACTGGCTGACGGGGGCAATTTATGTAACCCTGTCGGGGGTTGGCTTCCTCATTCATGAATAAGGCTCATGAGTAAGCCTGATTGGTAGGAGGGTTATGAAGAAGAGACTGTAGTGATAGTAACACTAACATGCTGATACATGCGAGCTGGTACTTCTGTGTGCTACTTGCAGTATTTTATCACCTTACCTAATCCTGGCTCTGTCACTTCCACTTTGTGCACATTATTTAACCTCTCTGTGACTCCCCTACACAATGGAAGTGATGACAACGACTGAGTAGGCAAGCCCCAGTGAAGCTTAGAACAGTGTTTGGCGCACAGAAATACACGATCCATATTTGTTTTCATTACCTCATTTTAAAACACCAACAGTTGCTGCCATACTTGTGGCAGTTATTCCCACCTTCTTTGCCACGAGAACCCTGATTTTGTCCAGGTAACCTGGGAAACCATGATTGGTCTAAGCCACACAGTAATCCCATTCCCCACTGCCAGGTATTTGCTTTCCTGCTCCTTTGAGCTCTGGGTGGCCATGTGGTCCAGTTTGGACCAGTGAGATGGAAATTCACTGGAGGGGCTTCTGAGAATAAATCTCCTCCAAGATAAGAAGTGGCTCTTGGGAGGAGCCTGTCTGCCCTCTCCGCTCACTTGCTCCCTTTGAAATCCGCTGTGTGAGGCTACCATGCACAGAGAGGTGGTGGCCATTTTCCTCCCATGAAATTCAAGATGGAGGATGAAAAGCAACATGCTAAAATCGGTGCACGGGAAAAGAAAGGCTCTAGGTTCTTGAGGACACCATGGAGCACAGCTTCCAACCTTTAAACGTTTACTAACAACAGATGTTATGATTTAAGTTGCTGTTGAATGGGTTTTCTGTTACTTGCAACCAAAAGCAAGTCGCTGCAAGAAATGAGAGTCATGTTGGACATGACACCAGACTCGCTTTTCCTCAGCTACGAGGGACCAAGAACTGGCTAAGCGCTTGTTCCTCTCACCGTGGAGGACCTTGGCCACAGTCAGGATTGTATAGCCAATTACAACAGCGAGCCTGGAAGAAAATAGGAAAGAGCCGTTCTGGACCTCACGTAAACTCTAAGGGCTGCTCTGGCTGAATGGAAATGGATTCTTTTGTGCTAGAAACACACAGAAATGGACAAGTCCCTGTGAATGGAAAAAGGGGCCCTCTGAGTGGCTTTCTTACGCTCATTTCAGCAAATGAAAACAAAAGAAAGACAGCCTTCAGAGAAACCTCCTCACAAAAGTGAAGTTAATACCTAGGGAGTCAAGCCGAAAAAGGGGTGAAGTGGGCAGTCGGCCCCCTGTGTCCAGAGATTATTCTTACTCTTTCTTTTTTGGCCTATTTTCCTCTCTTGCCCTTCTCTCCCCTTAGGGCATAATCGCTAATGTTGCTCTCAGCCTATTCTGTCTAGTTTATTATGTGTAATTTATTTCTGAATCCCAGCCTCTGCTTGTTCGTCTGCGTATAACAAGGTTAATGCCTTGTAATGATGCTTTTGCCAGTTCTGCCTTTCATGACAAAATCCAATCTTGATTTAGCTCTAAACCTTGTCTCCCCTTTGGGCTTTCTTGGTTCCCTCAGAGTTGTCATTCTGCTTCTCCTGCCTGCCATGTCTAACCATAGCGTCACACCTACACTTTAGCCCTAAGAGGGAAAGTTTTCTCAGTTTGAGGGAAAAAGCCACCTGGTCTCAAACAATGTTTGGGCTCAAAAAGAGAGAGCCTTGGGCTCGACACACCAAAGTGGAACTAAGGCTACTGAGAAGGGTGAGCGCTGGTGTGCGTGTGTGGGTGGGAGTGCGTACAGGGAGTGGTGGCCTATCGCAAGGGGAAACAGCTTGACCTCCTTCCAGCACCCTTATACGACCTTTCATCGACAACAAACACCCCCAGTGCACAACTCCAGGGGGCTCCGGTCATGTATTCTAGGGTGAATGGCACCCTCTGGAGCTGAGTAGCACTGTGGCCCTGCTCCCGCCATGCAAAAGATGGCCTGGCTCATCAAGGCCTTATGCAGGGTGTTCACAGCCCCGCTTTGGCTATTATGGGAACAGCAGGAGGAAACGTGCACAACAGTGGGACCTTAAGTGGTGGGGACCCAGCAAGAGTCAAGTCTTCTACTCCCAAGGTGCTAAAAAGACTCCCTCATTTGGTTTTTCCAGGAAAGGTACCAACCGGGGGCCTATTAACTACGGACACCTTGATGAAATGCCTCTTGGGCAATTACTTTTGTATTCTGCTCTCCTTTGGCATATACTTATTTTGAAACAGTTTCTTCACCATTTCCTATGACTTGCCAGGGGTCCACGTGCAGCTGGGAAACCTCAGTTGGAGCCCTACACTCAAGACCTGTCTGCGAACATGTACACACACACACCCATTCTGTCCCCTACAGGCTGCTTGATTTTGATAAGTCTCTGAACCTCAATGGACTATAAATCTATAAAATGGACATAATAAT